ATCTCAAGGTACGAGAATATATATCAAAGTTTTGTTCCCAAAAATGAATGCCGAAAAGACAGGACATAGTGTTGATTTGTGGATTGATGGCTCGTATCGTACCGTCATGTATAGGGTTACGTTTTAGGCAATCCCCTTACTGACGAAGAGGCGGATAACGACGCTGGGATTCCATACGCTCATCGAATGGGGATTATTTCCGACGAGATCTACGAGGTAAAACTGCAAAAACACTATATAACAATATGATATATATGTATATACTCACATTCCATTCATAGAAACTCTGCAGTCATTGGTGACTAGCTGCAAAGGGAAGTATTTTCTTGTGGAACCGAGCAACATAGAATGCGCGAGAGCTCTTGAACGTTTCGACGAGGCAAGTTTTTTCGCTTTTGAGGTCGAAAATCTTTGTTCAGAGAGCTAAGTCATTACAAAACACGGTTGGTTTTTTCTATGATCAGTGCACTAAAGACATAAACGGAGCACTCATCACTGCAGATAAATGCCATCCCGATCTTCCTTATCCAGGACCCGAGTGCCAGGTTCATCATCTTTTTTTTTAATCTGTCCTTACCTTTTTTTTCTTCTTCTTTAATCTATTTGCGCATGGCAACACAACACAACGGTTGTTTCTTTTTCGGACAGACCTATTTTTACACGCTGTCTTATTACTGGTCCAACGATGAATCCGTCCGGACAACGCTCGGCATAAGAAAGGTATGCGACTTTCGGGTTTTTTCTTATAAGATTTGCGGAATAATATCTTGTATTACCCAACCTTGGCTGATCTAGTGGTAAGAGAATATACAAAATATGCTCTTACCTCGGATTCAAATCTAAGCGTAGGGACAATCATTCACCCGAAATTCTCCGTTCTTCTGAAAGATATAGTCAGACCAAAACTCCGATGAATTTTTGAATTATCAAAAAAAATATCTTGTATTTTTTCCATTGAACGAATCGATATATATATATATACACACACGCATATCCATATGCAAGAGTTTTGAGTTATGAAAACAGGGGACGATTGGGAGATGGGATAGATGCAATCGTGAAGAAATACCATACGAGGAAGATATCGATAGCGCACTCCCTTACCACGTTAACCTCAGCACTAGAGGCTATCGTTCTCTCGTTTACAGGTAATGTAATATATCTGAATTCTTGTCTAAAAGT